CGATAATTTTTAAAAAACTGTTAAACTGTTATCAACTCCAATTGGAGTTGGTAACAGTTTTTTTATACTTTTTAATATTTCCTATTTGTATTTTAAAAATTTTTTTTTATGAATTTTACACGGAAAAAAATTCTTATCTGATAAAAAACTGTTAAACTGTTACAAAATCCAATTGGAGTTGGTTACAGTTTTTTCATACTTTTTAATATTTCCTTATTTTATTTTATTAATTTTACACGGAAAAAAATCCTTAGCTGATAAAAAACTGTTAAACTGTTACAAAATCCAATTGGAGTTGGTAACAGTTTGTTTTAAAATTTTTGAATATTTTCTTATTTTATCATTTAATTTTAATTTTTTTTAATTAATTTTAAACGGAAAAAATTCTTATCTGATAAAAAAATGTTAAACTTTTACAAAATTCAATTGGAGTTGGTTACAGTTTTTTTTATACTTTTTAATATTTCCTATTTTCTTAATTTTTTTTATTAATTTTACAGGGAAAAAAATCCTTAGCTGATAAAAAACTGTTAAGCTTGTACCAACTGCAATTGAAGTTGGTAACAGTTTTTTAAAAGTTATCGAAAACTTTACAAAAATATACAATGCGGAATATTTGCAGAAATTCCGTCCGGAAATTCTTTGCGGAATTATTTACGGAATTCCCGTAGAATCGTTTCACGTGGGTTGATATGGGTGCTCCGCACAGGAAAAAAAAATTTGACTCCGTTTACACCTTAAATTCAGCCCATGTATTTCACATAAGTCTGTCCTTGTTTAATGGGGCTGACTCCGTTTACACCTTAAATTCAGCCTCGAAAACAGGCTGAAAGTAAAACTTTTTTTTAGTGTGCGAATATACGTATAAAATACATATTAAAATATCTACTGGAGTTTCCACATAAATATGTGGAAAAATGCTGTATAGCAATGCTTCAAACTTCTTGAATCCGTGCCAAGTTGTATATTCATTATAATCAATATTCGAACACTTTAAACAAATTTTTTCGTTGATCAACGTTGTGGACTTGAAGTTTGTGAATCCGTTTGTTGCAGATTGATTTTCCATTTGGAATTTCTTTTCTCAATATCCAAGTGCATCCTGCTGAAATGATGCACTTTTCGCTTCTTTCGTTTTTGCAAAGAGGGTTTTTTTCAGACATTTAAATGTAAACACAGGCATCACGTGTTGATCATCGCCTGATGTATGTGTAAGTAAATAAAGTAAAGATTTATACAGACTCTCTTGAAAGCGCGATGCTCGCCATGTCATGACCAGAAATAGTCGAGTCGCGTGGGTGGTGTGCACGCGGAATAATAATAAACGAGTCGAATGAAAGACTGGGGGTTGCAGAATGCCCGCTTCACAATCGATCTTCGATGAGAAAGAGCGATGGATGCCCCAATCCCAATAAGCAAACATTCAGAGAGTTATAATAAATTTATTGGTTCACATTTTTATTCAGATTATTCAAATAAGAAATCTTATAATTCAAGCGCGAAATCTAAATTTAATGTGTAAACCGAAGAAAGTCGTTTTTTTATGATTTCAGCTCCCCAAGTGGAATTTAACGGCAATTTATACACGTTAAACAAAACATCAAGTTTTAAACATATGAAATGTTTGGCCTTCGATTAAGAGATCAGCAGAAAGTGAGGTAGGACGAGAATCTTAAAATATCGCTATTTTTTGTTTCAAGCCTTTTAACGTTATCGCCATTATTTCCCAAAAAAAGTTTCTCCAGATATTTATTATTTCCATCCTTTCATAATTCGTTATTTTTCAATCAATTCTTCTTTGGCGAAATATTATTTCTTTATAATTTATCTCTTCTGTGTTTTGGCAGTGTTTTTTAAGTCAAATTTAATCAACATCTTTATATAGTCGTTGCAACAGTAAATCTCAGATTTGCAGTAATTAAGTCAGAAATGTGTGAGATTGCAATGGAAAGGCAACGAACACACTGAAAAAAAGATATTATGGTTGCAAGGCATTTTAGCTTAATCGAATCTCTTGCATTGAGATATACACACAGTTGAAACCGTTCAATATTTTTCTGAACCCTTGACTTTCTCTCAAAAGATATATACCAATAAAGCGCATCAATTAACAGTAATCAAAAGATGAATTAATATTAGCAAATAATTAAAAGTCTCTAAAATTAAAATACAATTTTTTTTCACATTTTTACACATTTCATATACTGTTCTATTTTCTTTGCTCATTTAAAACCGTTTTTTGTAAACTTCTTTCTAAACAAATTTTTTACCATTTTTCACTACTGATAAGACAAACGATGCTATAATTTTCTTTAAAGCCTTATAATTGTTTCCAATAATAACTTTACTTTAAATTATCGATAAAAACAACTTAAATTTTTTTAATGAGAGTCTTTCAAATATAAATTCGCTAATATTCTATTAATCTTGACTCATATTTAAACTGAACATTTTAAAGTGCAGAAATTACAATGGAAAAAAATCTGTATTTTGTATAACATTCTTGAATTTTTCAATATTTAATAAATCACTTTTTCGATGCAGATTTTAAAGCTTTTTATCAATATTATATAAATTTTATTACAAAATATTTTTTCGTTTAAAAAAAATAAAAGTAAATTATTTATTTTTCAATTTTTCTTAACAATTCTTAAATAACATTCAGAAAAAGAAATATTTTCTTTACTTTCGAGAAAATTTATTCACTTGTAATTAAATCAAAAATTATTTATTCCAATAAATAAATTAAAATTTTAATTATTTCATTTTTTAAACATATAAATTACGCGATCAATCTCGAATAATTTGTTTTAATTAATAATTGTATTTACTTCTTTATATTTTTCAAATTTCAAACACAATTCCAAATTTCAGATACAATTCTGATAAAGATCTTCAAACAGAATCTAAATGTTTTTTTCTACATTAGTATATCATTTCATTTAAGGATTACTTGACCAAAACATAATTATGTACTATTAATTATTGTGAATACGAAATTTTTTATAAGTAATCATTTTTACAGTAAATTTAAATTACTAATTTCAAAGATAAATTAATTTTGAATGCATAGAATTAATCAGAGGCTAATTACAACAATCAATTAAAAATAAAGACAAGATATGAAATTACTTCATTACTCTGCAGATATCAAAATAATTCAACATTAAGTGGAAAAAGAGTGCTGTTTGTTTGAAATACACTGCAAAAAATTGTATTTTATTTTATAAATTGTTTGTGATTAAATATATAACCTGTTCATTTTTCCAGGATTTTAAAACGAAAATTATTCGAAAACATCAATAACTTCATTTTTAAATAAATATTTAATCATTATTTTTTTTAATAGAAATAAAGATATTAAAAAATTTCTGACATTTTTAAATTAAATATTATATTAGAAATTAAAAACTTTAAATAATTATAAAAAATTTCATTAAACTTATTGAGAAAAATTAATTCTATAGAATTCTTAATTAAAAGTATGAAAAGTTCAAATTTTCAAAGATTTTAATTTGAATATAAAAATAAATTGAATTATAAATAAATTTTGAATTATAAAAATAAATATTTTATTAAATAATTGAATGTTTCTTAAAATTGAATTTTCATAAAGAATTTTATCAACAAATTTTTAAATAATTGAATTCTCTTGACAAATTTTAATAAAATTTTTAAGAATAATATTGCATTTTTCCATAAATTTGATGAAAATTGTATTAAAAATAAAATTGAAATTCTGCCAAGAATTTTATTCAAAGTTTTGAAAATAATTGAATTTCGGAAAAAAATTTGATTGCTTATAAAGATAATTAAAATTCTTCTATAAATCCATTATTTTTAATAATCAATTAAATATATATTAAAAAATTTAACTAATTTCAGAAGAATTTTAGTTTTTAAATTTTTTTTCAAATCTAAGTTTCTTTATATTTCTAAATAAATTCATTTAAAATTAAAATTTTACAAAATTTTTAATCAAAATATTTTGAAGTTCATCTACTTACGAAAATTGTAAAAGAAATTCTATTAAAATTGAATTAATTTTGAAATTAGACTTCAAGAATAAACACAATAACTGTAGAAAACAACAATTTTCCAGGATTTTGATCAAAATTTCCTGACTTTTCCAGGTATTTTCTAGGTTTATAAAATTCCCTGACATTTCCAGATTTCCAGGTTGCGTAGCAACTGGTAAAATTACAATGTAATCTTACTACCACAAGAATTAAAAGCGCAGTTACTTAAAAGGTTAGTGCCATATCTCAGTGACTTTTGTTAAACAATTTTTGTTATTACAAAAATTTATTTTATTTACATTCAACTTTTTTTATACATAAAAGAAGAGGTTTTAGACTGTCTAAAAATTTCGTTCTTTGTTTATTTTGAACTATCTTGCTGTCATGTCTACCTGAAACTACCCTTACTTGTGATTGGCCGATACCATATCTCAAGTTCAAGGCATCCAAAAAACAAAATTCTGTTCTTTTCTTGAAGAATAAGCTTGTCGCTTTTAAGAATTCCAGATGAAAAGAAACAAGATGTAAGTACTGTTTCAATTTTTGAAATTTTGTTTTTTTAATGTAAATTTAAAAAAAAATTAATTAACAGTTAATGAAAACTTATGGTACTTTTGGTACCATGAGTTATAAGAAAAAGCGAATTTACGAAAACATGTTCTTTTTCAAGAAAATAACCGCTTTGGAGTCAAAATTTGCAATTTATTGTTCAAGAAAATAAAAAAATTTTGACGAAATTTGTTGGTTCTTGTTTTGAAATAGTCAGGATTATAAATTCAAAAGAGCTATAAGAAAGAACTTGATTCAATTTTTTTTGGAGTAACATTGCACTCAGTTCCTACATATATCTAAAGCTACAAGAATGTGCAAATATTGGATATAATTTTTTGTTTAATTACATGATGCGTGTTTTAATATACATACTAGCTTTTTAACAATGTAAATTAAAAAGAAAAGAAAAATAGGGAAATTTATTCTTACCGGTAATGGAACTCTGTTTTCTTGAGGTGGTAGAAAGAGTGGGTGTGATTGGTTCTTGAATGCATTCATTTTTACAGCATATTTCAGTGATTGTTGTAACATGAGTGATTTCTTCCAATGTCGTGTCACCAATATCCGGTACTCGTGGTTCTTGAGGCGGTGTTCTCTCAGCATTTTCAGAGAAGTTTGCGATAGGCGTCGACGAAATGAAGCTTCTCGACTCCTGGCGAACGGTTTTCGGAGAAGCATGTTTTCTTGGCGTTGCCGGCGCATGTTTACGCAAGTAGGGCATGCCCCGAAGCGCATAAGGTTCCGGGACCACTTCTTGCGAGGAGATTGTTTCCCACTCGTACCGATCATTATCCTTGGGCATTTCCAGACGAAAGTCGAAACCCCATCTCTCGGCATCAAGAATCGATTGTGCTCGAAGCTCCTTCTCAGCAAGTGCTCTGGCTGCTGCATGGTCAACAGGACCAAACAAGTCTCTCCTAACACGGGCCAATGCTGCTCTGCTCGGTGCTGCACGTGCACCACCAAGATTACGACCCACTTCCGTCATCATCGCTGGGTTTAACACTCGCGCGCTCATGTTTGTCACTGGGAAAATAGACAACCTCTCCTGCTTCGCACAAAAAACGTAGCGTTGATTAACGTTCAGTTTTTTATTCCTACTAAAACTTCTCCTTTATATTTCGGTAGAAATAAACTTTCTCCCTCTGCATTTGTATTAATTTTAGAAATAAAATTTTCTGGTCACAATAGAATTCTATTTCTTAAATAAAAAAACGTTCTTTATGATTGTAGCGTCTCTTAAAAATTCAACACGATTTCATAAGATTAAAAATGGCGGGAATCGCTTTTCGACTGAATAAACGAGGTCTTTGAGAGATGGAAGATTCATGGAAAGTCTTTAAGAACCGCGGTATCGTCGTAACGGCAACACTGTCGACCTTTCATCAGCGTCAAGTTTTGTTCGCTCAACACTTGTTATCCCCTTTACTGGAATCAAAATCGCTAAACAAAAACAAATTTTTTTTTAAAATCCACGCTTAATTTTGCACAAACACACTCACACACTAACAAGAGAAGACGATGTTCCACTGATCATGCGAGAAATTATAAATTCGTCACTCGGTGTGTTGATCTGGCAACGCCGACGCACTTGCGTGTATATGAGAAAGATGGAGTGATATGTGTATGATTCAAATTCGAAGGCGCATAAACGCGGGGTTCCAAAGTCGTCACAATGACGAAGCACAAGTTCTTACTAGACTTTTCCAAAGTAATAGCAAGTCAAGATTTCACTGAATTTCCCGCGATTATTGCACACGGTCCAAAACCAACAATATGCTGTAACTCTCACACACGAGGTTGGGAGGTGGCCGCGCACAACAAAACTTCCCAGTAACTCGAAACGTTATTTCAATTCACCAATAAATTTCACTGATAATTGCAATGTTTTCAAAGAATTCCAAGTTTTCCCGGGCAATTGTATGTTTATAAACTTTACAACTACCGATTGCGCAGTTACGTGTGCGTGATAAGCACTATGAGGAGGAGCGTAAAATCGCGTTAATCACGTGTTCAGCGCTCACAAGCGACTGAGGGGCCTGCGCAGGAAAACAGCCACAGCGAGCGTCCAAGCCCAATCGCTTCGGTCGGAGTCGTCACTTCTCGACAAGTTACGCTCTCCCACTGTTCCAAGATACAAAATAACCGCCACTTTCTGTGTATACACTCGGCTCAACAAGAGCACGCGGTTCACGCGAAATCAGAGCAGCCTCGGAACCAGCCACTTTGACGCCCTCGTTTTATAAAACTAATTTTTATTGCTTATCTTATCGTATTTAATCATTTTATCACATTTGCTGACAATACAGAAAGTTTAGTTCAAAGTGGGATTTCAGTTTTCAATCTTGCTTCTGAGATTTTCCAATGAACTTTTATCTTTATTAGCGCTGATGATTGTTGAACAAAAACTATGAAATTTAATAACAGTTATCAAGTTTTTATTTAAAATCGTATTCGAATCTACATGTTGAGCATATAAGTCGCAATAATATTCTCTAACTGACAAACAACCAAACTGTTGTTTAACAGAAAAGCATATAACAGAATTGAAATTTAATATAATATAGTCACCAAAGTAACTCATATATGGGTGATTCTCCTGAAAAGGACCCTTTTTGGTTGAATTTTCAAAAAATCAAATTATTCTTTTTTTTACTTTTTTTCGTAAATAAGTTTAGAAGATGTTTAAAGATAAAAATATAAGTTGCGCAAAATTAATTTTCAGAAATAAGACCTCCAGGAACATTTTATTATAATGTGTTCTAGAGGTGAAGTATAATTAATATTATAACTTTTAAATTAATTATTTTGAAAAAAAACTCGGTAGGAATATTTTTTTAAATAATAAATTGTTCTGTTTTAATTTATTGCACTTTTTGCTTGTATATTTTATTTTTATTAAATTAATAATTTAATTTGAGAGTTAAATATTTCAAAACAATGATTAAAAAATTAAAAACAAAAGCAAACGCCTATCAAATATAAAAAAAGGCTTCGGAGATGAATTGATAATTTAATGAAAAAATTCTGGTTTTTTTCAATTTTAAAAATATTACAATTTTTTAAACAATATTTTTAGTTTTAATCATAAAATGTTTTCACATAGATTACATAATTATTATGTTTAAACTGTTAAAAAATACGATGTTATTATATAGAAAACGAGCTTTGGAGATGAATTGAATTTTTACTCTCATTTGCTAATACTATTTTAATTAATAATTTCAATAACTTTTTATATCACATTTTAAACAAATATAAGTAAAAAATAAACGTTATATTCTGAACTTTAATTTGATATATATCATAAATATGTTATGAAATTATTTAATTACGTTAAAATATAATTATAAAATATAGGGGAGAGGGCCCCAAGGTGGTCAGGGCCCTAAGGTGGTCACCCTAAGAAAATTTTTGTATATTAGTTAGTATCTTCGAATGTTTTTTGTTATTGTTATTATTTGAGAAGACAAAGATTTCAGTAAAGTTTTGAGGTAAATAGTCGTATGAATCTCTTTGTAACGTGAACGTCGTAAAATTTCTGTTTTTAAATGATCGAGAAATTTTTTTCTCAGGGTGTTAAAATCATCGAAATTAACCATTTTAAATTAGTAAAAATCGTTATAATTATATCTTTATAGGATCGTACAATAATATTCCAAATGAATATAATTAATATTGTGCTTTAAAAAATTTTTTCATTAAGGTTTAAAAAATTGTGTCTTTGCCCTAAGGAGGACACTTTTTTGGCCACAAGGTGGTCACTTTTGATTTTTTATAAAAATGTTTTTATACGCTATATTTATCAACATTTATCACTGTGAATGTGAATTTTATCAATTTTTAAGTTTTATGATGAATAATAATGAAATAGAATTGTTTTCAAAATTTTACCTGTCTAATACATACACAAAAAGTATCATTTTTGACGAAAGGACAAAGTGCAAAAAAAATATGCAATATGTTTCTGTGATCCTGAAAAACAATTAATATTAAATAAACAACTTAATAATACGTTTTTTACATTTTTTAAAAACTTTTTTAGTGAATTTTTGTATGGTGACCACCTTGGGGCCACTTTTTTAAAAGTCGAATTTTCAACTTTTTTTAAAAAGTGCCATAACTTTTTTTTTATTAATGAAATGAAAAAAACTTTATGATAGGAAGTTAGGTAATAAGATAAAGTTTCAAACGCCGTATTATTGACCTTTATATATAATTCCATTTGAAATCTACAATCGTTCAAAAGATGGGTGACCGCCTTAGGGCCCTCTCCCCTACATTCTGTTTAACCAAAATTCGATGACAAAATATTAAATATGTTTTTTAAATAGGAAGAACTTTTAATATAAGAATTAGAAGATTATATAAAGATATAGATAAATCTTAGTAGATTATAAATAAATTTTTCAAAAAATTTAAACTTGATAAAATATTAATAAAAAATTAATTTAAATAATGAACCTCATGTTGGAGACACGTGAAGTGGTCCCTTTCAGAAGAATCACCCATATACTTAACACTTAATATTGTGCTTCACCTCTTATAACTGAATTTTTATTTAATGATCACATTCTTCTCCAAAATTCAATTATTTTTATTTAAAAATTTTAATAAAATTCTTGTCAAAATTTCAATTATTTTCAAAAATTTTCCTGCATTCAATCATATTTTTAATATTTACTATTTTAATAAAATTTCCCAAAAGAATTCAATTATGTAAAAAAAATTTAATAAAATTCTACGCAAACCTTTAATTATTTAAATTATTTAATTATTTAACGTCACGCGAGGGGGGGGGGGTCTGTACATTTGTGACGACCTATAGAAAAAATGGCGCTGATGTATGGGACAGTGTGTGATATGGTCAAAAATCGCGTGACGTGTATTATGTGAACGGCCCTATTGCATAATTTCAATTATTTTTAATTCAATTTTAAATTGAACTGAAATTTACAACGTTGAATCTGCCAATTTTCCAATTATCAATATTGAAAATCGTCAGGTTTGACGTTGTAAACTTTGGTTCAATAATTTTCATCAAATTTCTCAAACAATGTAAGGTGATTAAAATTAAAATGTTATTTTTAATCCTACTAACTTTGATTTTTCGATGTTGGATTTCGAACTAAACTATACTCTATTTTGGTTGACTAGTATGTATGATGGACAAAAATAATAGTGGTCGAGCAGGTGGAAGCAAATTTTAATTTTCCCCAGGTGAAAAACGATAGTCAGAAATGATAAGAAATTTTCTGTTTTCGTTTTTTTTTTCTCAAATAAATTCATATACAACTTTAAAAAGTAGAAATATTTCATATAGGTATTACAATAATGAATGCTTCAACATGATTTAATTCTATTTGTAATGAGTTCTGCCATTAATTATATATATATATATATATATATATATATATATATATATATATATAATATATACTGAAAATCCCTGTATAAGATCTTGTACAAGAAAATGTACAAGTACTTGTATACATGAACACGTAGAAGTACTTGTACATTTTCTTTACACATTATTTTTAAGTTGTAAAAATTATAAACATTAAAGGCTGCGCAGTAGTTTTTATAAGCCTTTAGAGCTGCGCAATAGTTTTTAGCTTGCCTAAAGTGAAGAGTCTTAACGATTATAAGTTATTAAAATGCCAATTTAAAAAAAAAAATTATTTATAAATTTAATGTAGGAAATTATTTGCTGATGAAGAATTTTAATTAAGGAAGATTTCGACTATATCAGCAATTAGTGACATCTATTAGACGTCAATTGAACTCTTTGGTTTAGAGTCAGGTGTTATTCTTGAGATAATTATTCCGATATGGTTGTCGGTAAATAATTATATTTTTGAATTTAATTTTTGATCTGAAAAAATAAGCTGCGTGAACGACTGCACTGTGCATCTGTGAGGACTCGAACCCCAGTTAATAGCTGCCTTTCGCGGGACTAACGCCTACCAATGCACCATGCCAACACAGCCTGGACGTTCACGTTTCTTATAATCTCAGATCAAGCCCATACACTAGTCGAACCATATCGGAATAATTATCTCAAGAATAACACCTGACTCTAAACCAAAGAGTTCAATTGACGTCTAATAGATGTCACTAATTGCTGATATAGTCGAAATCTTCCTTAATTAAAATTCTTCATCAGCAAATAATTTCCTACATTAACTATACAGCTCTTCGACTAGTGTATGGGCTTGATCTGAGATTATAAGAAACGTGAACGTCCAGGCTGTGTTGGCATGGTGCATTGGTAGGCGTTAGTCCCGCGAAAGGCAGCTATTAACTGGGGTTCGAGTCCTCACAGATGCACAGTGCAGTCGTTCACGCAGCTTATTTTTTCAGATCAAAAATTAAATTCAAAAATATAATTATTTACCGACAACCATATCGGAATAATTATCTCAAGAATAACACCTGACTCTAAACCAAAGAGTTCAATTGACGTCTAATAGATGTCACTAATTGCTGATATAGTCGAAATCTTCCTTAATTAAAATTCTTCATCAGCAAATAATTTCCTACATTAACTATACAGCTCTTCGACTAGTGTATGGGCTTGATCTGAGATTATAAGAAACGTGAACGTCCAGGCTGTGTTGGCATGGTGCATTGGTAGGCGTTAGTCCCGCGAAAGGCAGCTATTAACTGGGGTTCGAGTCCTCACAGATGCACAGTGCAGTCGTTCACGCAGCTTATTTTTTCAGATCAAAAATTAAATTCAAAAATATAATTATTTACCGACAACCATATCGGAATAATTATCTCAAGAATAACACCTGACTCTAAACCAAAGAGTTCAATTGACGTCTAATAGATGTCACTAATTGCTGATATAGTCGAAATCTTCCTTAATTATTTATAAATTTACTTATTCCAATTTTCTAAAAAAAATTTATTTATAAATTTACTTGTACAAGAACATGAACGTGTTTATGTATACAAGTACTTGTACATGAACCCGTACAAGATCATATACATTTTCTTGTACCTACTAGTTCAGCTGCTGAACGTGTGCATTTTCTTGT